CTCTTATTTTTGAAAATACCTCTTAACAGTCAGAATGCGGATTTTGCTGATTATTTCCCTTGGAAAAGGCTGCAGAGAAAACTGAATCTACTGTGACTAAGAGATACAATTCTCACCTTTCCCCCCTTCTCAGAGGTTTGAGTTATATCTTCAGACATTGGTAGAAACAATGTACACCATGAGGAGTGGAGAGCAAGCTCCGTAGAGTTTCAGATTCCTGTAGTGGATCTCAGCTTCAGCACTCAGCAAGCTTGAACTGAATAAAGTCCCTGTTGGTCAGGCTCTGTGCCACAAATCATGTAAAAGCCAGGCTGCAGCAGTCACTGCAGGCAGGAAAGATTATCCTGAATCTAATTTCTCTTCCAGCTCCTACTGTCCTACTTAGACCACTGGGAAATTGATTTTCCAGCTTAGCCTCCAAGGAGAGGAACTTTTCCAAACTGATGGCTCCCAAGATAGAACAAAGTCAATTGATTAACGGGAATAATCCACTAATAAAAGTAGATCTAGAGGGTGGCTTAAAGGCATGAGGATTCTCTTTTCAGGCTCAGTCTTCTGAATGAGAAATAAGAAGCAGGGGGTGTGTGTGTATAGGCAGATGAGGTACAGATGGGGCTGTCTGGATGTTATCCAAGCCAGGTGTTTTGTCTCCTGCCTTTTCTGTCTTCCTCTTCTTATTGGGTTTATCCAGTCCACCCTACCAACCTCAATATGCTGTTTATTTCTGAATGTATCTTACATGTTTTCCTACAAATACCATTTTTTACCAGTCCAGGCCTTCAGAGGTTTTTCTTTAGACCACATCTAGAAGTTGGACGTAACTGGAATAACATTTCTTCTTTACCTTAGGAGTAGCTTACTACATACTTACTATATATCCTTCCTCATAAGGATAGACAAACTGCTAAATTTGCTTCTTTTTCAAGAATGGTAACTCTGAGACATTTGCAACTTTTGTCTTATTTTGAGTGATGTTGGATTCCAAAATTTGGATATGAGGAAAAGAATACTGCTAGGTTTAAACAAAAGCCTTGGGCTAACAGAGACTGGGGAAAAACCCCATCTAGAGTCCAGACAAGGATCCATTGATGTCATGGGTTTGGAATGTTCTGCCCAAGCCTGGAGAAACCATGCCCTGATTTAATCAAACCTATGCAGAAGACCTATTGTACCTTCTCTCTCCCTTTGTGTTCTTTGAATCGCTGCATTCTGCAGACCCAAATACCTGTTCCCCCCTCTAAAATACCCTAAAATAAAATGGGTTTTTCCCTATGATGTAAGTGCTAAGACCCAAAAGTTTGTAATTTAGGATTTCCCCTTTACCTCATCCCTGTAAAGTCCCTAATTGTAATAGCTCTGCCCCCAATGAATATGCAAGCCCCCTGTTGAATATGTAGACCCTAAACCTTTTAAATATGAACTTGTGAGTCCAATAAAGCATTCCAGCTTCTTGCCTCCCCTGGGATCCTGATAGCTTTATTGACCTCCACAGAGTGCATATGAGCAGTTTAAAGGTATTGTTGAGTAGCTTTTCCAGTCAGAGGAAAGGTTTCTCCAGAGACTAACTTTGATGCTTGGAGATCACGTCTGTAGAATATCTCTCCTCTCTGACTAAAACACAGACCTAAGTCATGCATTAAAGAAAGCCTTTTTGAATACAGCTCTTCTTATATATTTTACTGGATGTATAATCATTAAAAATTTATATTATCAGTATTCCTCACCTGAGTAGCCACCTATCTCTCCTTTTTCTTTCTAGTGGTACAAAAACTTGATACAATTTCTCCTACATTTTCTGATTATTGTTTATTGGCTACTTACCCCTTGCCCTAAACCCAAATCCATCTGGAATATACCTAGGGAAAAGCTCAGCTCTGTAGCACTGCTTAGTAGAACTTTGCATCATCTCAGTGCAGGCATATGATGTGGGCATCACCACCTCTCCTGCAATATGCTAAATTAATTTTTTCTAGTCTCAGTGGACTAGATTCAGTTAAAGATTTGAATTGTTCTACTTTTTCATAGACTATGTAATACTAGATGAGATAAAATATTTTGTGTTAGATCCAGAAATGAAAAGACAGCAAGATTCCTGCCAGATCAATATTGTCATTTCTGTTTGCTTGTCCTTTTTTTTATGGGGGAAAAAGGGAAGAAACAGAAAGCAAATCTTGTTCTACTCCTCCTATATATAATCTTATCTAAAGATGAAATAATTTTGTTTAGTTGGAAAAAGATGAGTAAAATATAGTCACAGGATAGACTTATTTACTTTTTTCCATCAAAAATGAAGGATTGCTCCTCTAGATGTTGACTTTTAAAGACTTCTACATGTTTTCTTGTTCTTGGTAGACCAATTTGTAAAATCCATTTTAGAGTCACGAAGTTTTAATATTTAAGAATAAAAATAACAAAATTACTTTGGTCTTCTCATACTTAATACTACAGAACACTGAAGATATCAGTGTTTGGCTAATCCCAGCATTTTAAATTCTTACTCTTAGTTGAAGCCTGTTAGTGGTGTAATAATGTTAATATTTTAAACTGTGCAAGAGAAAACTTAGTAAGAGAGAATTCTGGTAGTTGCTGGCATCTTTGTCAGTTTAGGTATGCTCAGCATCTTGTTTTGCTTTATCTAAACACATTACTTTAACTGTAGATAATACAAATAAAATGCAATAATAAAATTAATGGATAATTTTGTGGGAAAGATTTATGTTTAACCACAACTCCTAAATACTGCTCTCTTTTTCAACTCTGCCCATGTGAAGAACACTTTCTAGTTAGTTACTGTAAAAATTCATTTTTCTTTTCATTTTGTGCCATGTTCCATTTCAATAAAGTTTGTTTTATAGTTCAGTACTCCAGAAAAGGAACACTGCTGTCTGAAATGCAGGTTCTCAAATGTAGCTGAACGGATGATTCAATCCCAGCAACAAATCTTGGCCCAGTCACTGATCATTGACAGGTTTCATTTGCCAAGTGCAGTGTCTTCTGCAGTAATTCATAGTTCTTAGTTCTGCCCCACGTTTTCATAAGTTATGGAAAACAAGTGATGTATAAACAGAAGATGTCATATATCTCACAGGTCTGTTTCCTGCCTCTGTGCTGTGGTTATGAACCTAACACAAAATGCACTGACACATCCCTTGTTCTGTCCAGGGTGAAATGGGCTGCCCTCTGTAGCAACATGACTTTGGATCTTCCTCCACTGTTGAATTCTTTGGGGAAGTATTCTCTGCAGAGCATGAATATATGCAGGTCTTACACTGTCTTTAACACAACATTTAATTCCTTCCATCTTCCTGTTTATTGCAGGAAAAGAGCACAAGTGCTCTGAGGTTCCCTTTTTGCTGTTAAGCTTACAACCACTAAAAGTGATTTTTGTATTACTCCACGGTTGATTTATATGCAGACCTTTTTATTGTGTAGCAGTGATTTTAGGGGCCTGTGTCCTTGTGTAGGATCAGGGGCAGAAATGAGTGCATTGTATGTAAGAACAGCCCAGCACCCTTACAATTAAATCTGTGCTGACAGAACAGAACAGCATTTAGGCAATGGCTGATCTCTAGGACCAGGAGGAGAGATTGTTCCTTCTGTTCTTTGTGTCAGAACAGGGGACATATTTTGACTTAAGTCAGAACATCTCATAGTGGCTGTCATAGCAAATTCAGCTGGGCATAGGAGTGAGGGGGGGGGGTGTCTCATGATAATTTTGTCTTTGTGCAATTGCCAGTACATTAAATTTCCTCCAAGTCAGTTCTACCCATGACAGTAACTGCTAAGTAACTGCTAAGCTTCACCCACAAGGTTTCTCATCTTATTTTTTTTTCTCCTGTCCAGTTGAGGAGGGACACTGAGGGAGTGCTGAGTGGGTGTCTGACAGCCAGTGTGAACCCCCAACAGATGAGCAGGTTGAAAATTGGTTTATATAAGACTAGTGATCCTTTGCTTTAACCTGAGATTGCCTTCGTACTTTTGACCATTTTAATATTTAAAAATACTTCAGTTTCAGCCGCCTCACTGCAAATCCCTGAACTTTAAAACTTTACTTGTGCAAAGTTTCCATGTATCCACAAATCTTGCCATTGCTGTCATCCTTAATGTGTGAGTTTCCACAACTTCCCTGAGAGAATAAATGCTTCAGACAATTGGAAAGTGCCTGTGCCCTGGTTCTTCAATTTTATACTTTTTTTGGACATGACAGACCATATCCATATGAGTCAGTGAGATAAAGATGTTCCAGTACATCTCCTATAGAGGAACTAAAGAAATAACACCAACTTGTCATTCCAAATAAATTGTCCCAAATGATTACTTAGGGGGTGAGAAGAAACAAGTTCACGCTATTTATTGGAAAAAAAACAATATAAAGAAAGAGCACTGAAGGATCATTAGGTTGTGTCATACTGTGAAGGAAAACTAGGAACTGAGTTGTCTTCATATGTTCAGCATTTGGCAGATAATCGTTTGGTGATTCTGTGGTTCTTATGACAGCAGGGAAGTCATTGTGTCTTGATTCCCTTTCCCTTTTATTTGTGTGGATCTCTGCTAAGGAAACCCCTGTAAATCATGCTCATTCAGGAAACACTTTAGTCCAGTGGTCACGCTGATATTGTATAGTCAGCTATACAGAGATGGATTTAAACCTCTAATGCAGTGTTTTCCTGAATTCAGAACAGTCTCAAACCACTCTCGAAATGAGGAATCAAAATATCTGGCAGCAATGTGGTTTTCTGATTCAAATCCTCAATCAGAGGCTGTAACCTTATTTTTTTGAATTATTTTAAAATCTTAGTCTATTTCCATCATAACTTTAATGTTTCTTCCCCTGCTTAATCCAGATGGCATTACGGTAATTTTGTGCTTTTTTATATAAACATAGTAATTTCATGGCATATAATTTATAAATATTTTCTTATATTTAGTGTTATAGTTTTGCATCCATATCAGATAGATATTTAAAAATAAACATGAATTGTTTATCCTTGTTTTTCCAGATGACATCAAGCATCCGTTGGATGAATGTTGCTCGTCATTGCTTGCTGAGTATGTGATGGAGTTGGAGGGAGGAAGAACTGAGATCAGATTCCTGACCCTAGACCTGTTCCTAGGCCTTTTCATCGGAAAGTCCAAATTTACACTACTTCCTATGGTTTCTTTTGCTTGCAGTGGAATAGAGAGCTTGTTGAAAGTATTTTCTCATTATGGGCTTTGAGAGGGTGTACGGATGTGCTGCAGAATAGCATTTGGATATAAAAATAATTTTTGAAAATTGAAATAATGGTTTTAAAATTAGTGCTAATTTTGAGAGTAGCACGTGCAAGGTGCTGGGAATGGCAGTTCTACAGCACAGAGAAGACTGGGGAAATAAACTGATTAGTAGCAGTTCTTCAGGAAAGGATTTTGGTGTTACGGTGGTAAATTGAATGTGACTCTACAGTTTTAAATTATTGCAAGTAGAATAGGAGCCATGCTGGGTTGTATTTGAAAATGACTGTAGCCTAGATGATGTGTAAAATAATGTCTGCTTTGCACAGCATTCGTAATGCCACAGTTATGTCTGTCTTACTGTATTTTAAAAAGAAAAAAAAGGGAACATCTGAAGAAAGCTAAAGAGCGAGCCAAAAAAGATTAGAAATCCAGACAAGATATCACAGGCCTTAATGACCTGGAATTATTTAGCAGAAGGACAACATAATTTTTTCTCCATGTGGCTGACAGAACAAGAATTATTAAGTTTAAATTACAGCAAAACAGATCCATGTAAATATTAACAACTTTCTGATGGTAGAACAGCAAAGCAGATTTTTGAATCCTAAATCTCAGAGGTTTTAAAGTCAGGTTAAATAAATACCAGTTAGGAAGGACTTGGATATGACACATATTTGCTTTGAAATGAGGCTGAAATAATAAATGACTTCTCAAGACCTTCTGTTTCAGACACATTTTCTATGACTGGAATTCAGCAGGAGCTCCACTGAAATGTAGCAGCTGAGTCAGTAACCCTTGAACAGAAAGAGATCCACTGTGTTCTCTTACTTTCACTACCTTTGTCACCATATATCTGAAACTCTTCAGCCGTAATTTCTTTGCTTCCAGAGAAATAGTTAATCTTTGTAGCCAATATTACTTCACAGTGACATGAAACTGCAACAATATTGTGGTTTTGTTGCTAAGATGTAGAGACAGCTCGCTTTTTTTTCTCAAACAAAAGCAAATAGATTTAAAAATGGCAAACAAGTGTCAAATAATTGTCTCATATCATTAAATGAAGATTCAAAGATAATAATCTTGATATCAAGACAAAAATTACATTTCACATCAGACTTCTTGCTCTTCTTGCTTAATATAAAGTTAAAGTAATTGAGGAGAATAAAGTATTTGCATAATTATATTTTGGAAATTGTTGTTGTTCAGTCTGTTGAAATCTCCTGAAACACACGAATACATTGCTTATTGAACCTACTATTCCCAATTTTACCTGTTTCATCTAGAGCAAATCTCATTAATACTACCAGTAAGTATGGGAAATATTGTCTGATGTACTTTGAGATTAATTATGCTTATGACAATCTCTCCTTTATAAGAGAAAGCAATCCATTCAAACAATAGCAATTCTTTCTGAATTCACTTCAAATGTCATTATGATAGAATGCAATTTTGGGAATAATGCAAATGTTTCAGTAGCTGGAAGCTATTTTGTTTTAATGAGATATGCTCTAACATACCTCATATACTCTGCAGTTTCTACCATTGGCATGGTAAAGTAATACAGAGACAATGAATATGTTTAAATTTAGTGTTGGTGTAATTCATCTGATGCTAAAGCTAAATTTAGCTAGTTGCTGTATTTTATTTATGCAGATGACTCAAAAATAGTTTTTTTCTGCCAAGTTGTACCTTACAAAGGTTCAGTATCTAATTTTAATTTTCTTATAGCTATGATCCCTATGTTTATTGTAAACAGGGAGGGCTTGATGTTGTATTTCAGGAAGAGAAAGCACAGTTCAATTACGTATGCGATCCAAGCCAAAACCTATTTGCTTGCCAGGAGGCTGAGAAAAGAGGAACTGGTAGCTGTAATAAGAGCTTTAATTTTCAGAAGCTTCTTGTCTGTATGCTGAAATTTTTCCTGTTATGCCCTATTTTTGAGGACTAACATGCCCTTCTTTTCCACATGTGGTGCAATCTTGTTTTTTCCTGCTGACTGGGGGATTTATGTGACAATACCAACAGAAATAATTTAGCTTAATTGTGGATGTGTATTTCACTGGTTTTCTCTTGGCTGATCGTACCCAGAGATGATGGGAGTTGTGGTATTCTAAGCAGGACTTGTTTGGGATGAACAAAACTATATCATGGGTTTATGATCTTGAAGTCTTCTCTGGTGTTGCTGATTCTCTGCTGGGAGGTAGAGCTGTCAATGACCTGTAAGGAGACCACTGGAAAATAATAATTATTACTGGGGGGTGGGTGGGTGGGGCTGGGAGGTGGTGGTCTTAAGGTCAGGAATTCAGGGGTTGAACCTGAGAATGAGGAATTGAAGAAGCAATGAGTTGAGTAGTGCAGAATTTGTAGTGTAATCCTGTCAGTCAAGTGAGAGGGGAAGAGCAAGTGGCAAAGATATAAAAGCAGTAAGAGAAAGGGTGAAGAAAAAAAGAAATAAAGCTCATCAATAGCAAATGCCTCTTAGAAAGGTATTTTCCTGGTCCCTACAGAGCTATGCTGTGCAATTTAACAGATGCTTTGTTCTTGCAGATTATTTTTCACACAGCTTCAGCTTTACAGATAAAGCAAGGTCAGGAAGAAAAACATTCTTTTTCTCAGGAATGGTCAGTCCAGTGGGAAATATCAAGCCAAGAAGCTATTAAAGTCAAGATATTAAGATTTCCATAAAGATCTTGAATGTACAGATTAAAAGCTGCAGAAAAAGAGTACCCATTTAAATATATGCCTTATCTGAACTTTTCTAAGCATATTAAAACAAGTAGGACAGGCAAAGAAATACTGTTAGATAAATCTAGGCCACATACTTAACTGGAATGAATCTCTGATCACTTTTCCCCTCTGTCATCCTGAGATTACAGTTTCAGTTTGGCTCTTTGGAGAATTCTTTAATACCTGTTGCAAGTTACTCTGGTTAAAGTGCTCTGATCTCCTGATACACCTGAAAAACCAATAGTGAGGAGAGGGGACAGAGTTCATGTTAGTTCATGTATAGCCAGAGTTCATGTTACTGTCATAAAATCTGATTTTTAAGGCTTTTTTTTTGTATATATAGTGCTCTGTGATCTTAATCAGTTGGCTTTTGAGTGTTTAAACTTGTTCCTTCATCCGTTACCATTGATCCTGTATATCAACATGGTAACAACCTAGGCTTAGATTATTAAGTAGACAACTCTGTTGCAAACATTTGTTATTTCTTCTGTATCTGAATTTTACTGTTATTCAGAGAGACTCATGTTGTGACCATGGGACTTGTGAAAGTATAAATGTTCTGTAAGAAGGCACAGCCCAAGAATTCTGTTTTCTGGCAAAAAGCTTTATGAAAGAAAAGCCATCTTGCATTCAGGGAGGAAAAGTTTCTCAGCTGTAGAGAAAATGGAGATATTTTCAGTTGTATGTCTTGGTTTCATAGGGACTACAAATAAGACACAGAATATGTGTTTTTAGCATCCAGCCAAGTAGTGGGTCTGTGCTTGTTTCCCCTTCTGAAAACTGCCCAAACCCTCTGGAAAAGGATAACTATGTGAATAAAGATGACTGTGTCACATATTTTAAATATATGCTGTATATTCAAATTGCTTGTTAACCACAGAACCATTTACGTCAGGAACACCTTTCAGTCTTAGCACTGTGTTTGTCAGAGACCCTGATCCCAAGTCCTGTGTGAACACTGGTCTGAATTTCTCATCTGCGTAGCTGAGCTGGACTGTAATCCTTTAGGAACAGTTCCCTTGATTTCTTGGTTTGGGGCCCTGGTGTATGAATTCCTTTGACTCGAGTTCCTCTGAAGTTGTCTGAGAGAAAAGGCAAGATAAACTCCATGTAATTGTGACTTCCTATTCTGTCCCCAGCAGTTCTGGTTCAAGAGCCCCCTTAGCTACTAGTGTTGCTGCCTGTAAATTGCATTTTGTACCCCTCTGCTTTGGTAGGTATCTGCCAAAATTGCTTTGCCTGGATACTGCACTCTCGTTGGGAATGGGGTATGCTTACTCTCTGGTAAAAAACTTCCTTTTAATAACAGAAAAAATCTGTCAGAGCTGATAGTGTTCCCTCTCATCCCGTCAGCCTCCCTCATTAAGCAGTATACTGTGTCAGCTCTGCAGAGGATGTTAAGTGGATTCTCTAACTTGTATTATTGGTGTTTCTCTGACAGCTCAGGCAATTTCAGTAACATGTGGTTTTCATCTCTGAGGTATTTTCTATCTTCACCTAAAACTAAGAGTTTTTTAACCAAGTTTTCTTACTGAAACTAGAACTTGTTTACCAACATTTTAAAGTGTCTCTTCTGCATCTGGACCAAGTGCGATGAGAGTTGATAAATGATTTCCTATTTTACTTTTACACCTGAGCATCCAGGAGACAGTTCAGAAGGAGGTTTATGGATATGAGGAAAAATTTCTTCACCAAAAGGGTTGTCAAGCACTGAAAAAGGCTGCCCAGAGCAGTGGTGGAGTCACCGTCTCTGGATGTATTTAAAAGAAGTGTAGATGTGGAGTCTGGGGACATGGTTTCGTGGTGGTCTTGGCAGTGCTGGGTTAATGGTTGGACTCGATGAAGTTTGAGGTCTTTGCCAACCTCATTTATTCTAACTGCTTTCTCGAAAATATATCTTATGCAAAAGAATCCTAAAAGTGAACAATGGTATTGTTTTTTTGAAGCTGATTTAGTTGAACGCTGTTTTCTGATGGGAGTCTTTGAATACCTGAATTTCATAAAATTACCTATGAACTGACATTAAAAATTGAAGAAATGGAACTTAGGTTGACAATCTGAACTGCTCACTGCTATATTTAGCAGAAATTACAAGTTTGTAGTGCCATCCAGAAAGGTCAGACTCTTTTAAAAAATTTTATAGTTATAAAACTAGCTGCCAGCTTTAATAGTCAAGACATTTTATAAAATGAAAGTTATGCTAAAATAGAGATGATCTAAATATAGCCATATAATATGCATAGCAGGAACCTGGCATGAATATTGTTTATTCAGAAACCCACTTACACTTCAGTAATGCATTTTCACATGCACATGGCTGCCAGTGTTGCTAAAATGCAACCAATAAGTGATTTGGGCCTCTTAATATACGTTGTGTGTGTGGTCTTTTTAATTTCTTTTTAGCAAACACCTTCTTCATCTTTAGTGTAGGTCCAGGACTAAGGGGAAGGGGTTCATGTGACTCAAACAAACAGCTCACAGATGTAGCTGCCTTACCCTGTTGGCTTTTGGGAGCAGCAGATATCAGTTGCTGGGCATATATTTAATTCAGTCTTCACAGAAATTATCAAACAGGACTCCTGCAGTTATGAAATAAATAATGGGAGAATAACAAGCTTGCTCCAGAAGCAGATGTCCCTGAATGCAGCTGGTGATGGGATGAAGGGAAAAGGTGCTATTTATTGCTAGTTATTATAAAGTAGCTCTTTTGCTGCTATAACACCAACAGGTTCCTTGCTTTTATGGAATAAAGCGAAACACTACAATTTGGGGAAGATTCTTTAGCGTGGGTTTGGATCTTTGCTGAATTTGGACCAGAAAAAAGTTTTACTTCATAATAAGCTGTAAAGCTTGTAGGGAGCCATCATTTGGAACATTTAATAAAAAACCATTTTTAAACCAGTGGAGTTATCACCTTCAAGTCTGACTGCAAGATGCATGAAATGATTGATGCTACAAGAAAATATGAGGATTTCTTTCCAGAAGATGTTTTTACACATGTTGCTATGTGTTCTGACACTAAGTGATGAGTTGAAAGAACTGTTGGGAATGAAGCAGCAAGGCAGAGTGAAGAGAAGCCTTTGCATTTGAATAATGTGTTACTAAAACAGCTGACACTGAGGAGGCCTGGCTTTCTGACTAAAAAAAAAACAATAAAAAAGTAATGAAAAAAATAACCGTAAGTTTAAATATTATCAGACTTTTTTTCTTAAACTG